CACTGAAAGGTTTCCACCAGAAATTTTCCAGTTTTGTCTTCACGCCAAATATAATTCATAACCAATTAACAGTTATTTCTGAAATCTCAATCTCCAATAATTTGTCTGGTTTGCACACTCTTCTTTAGAAACAGCTATTTAATTCTAATGACTCCTGTTTGTCGATAACTTCCTTGGCGGGAATGTTCTGGCACAGTGCCTTATTGATTATCGTCAAATATGCAAACACTCAACTCGATCAGTTTACAAAGGCCCATGCTTAATACTGGTGAAATAATGTTCTTATAAAGTGCTTTAGGGTACTTCAATTTTAACTTACCTATATTTATATCATGTGAGAAAAGGCTACTGGCTACCAACCACTGAAGGGCTTCAACATGAAAATAATGAAAGTAAAACCTTTCATGTCAAACAATTGTTTATTATTTATGATACAAAGGAAAGTGACAGGTTTTAAGCTGTTTAGAAATACACAAAGTGCAGCTTCACTGACCATACAGATATTGCTCTAGAGATTAATTACAGTTTTCAGTCTATAAAATTTAAAGCAACCTGTGCAGGTTAATCAGCTTTGGTTTCAAGGTCTTGAGTTAAAAGCAAGATTTTCATTACTTTAATCTGTTTATTTTGCGTATTTGAAATGTGTTTGTGTATGTGTTTTAAAACGTTTATCATCATTTCAGGTCACAAAGCCTTCTATGTCCCCAATAAAATGGGACAATCCCAGTGACGAAAAGTTTAACCACACATAGCATTGAAAAAACAACACAGCTCTGAACAGCTCTTTACAAGTGACCCTGGCTACCATTTCACAAAGTAAAGTAATAAAATTAGTGCGCCATATGTAATCTCAATTCAGAAACAAGCCCCAAAATGACAAATAATGCTACTTACAAAAAACGACAGAAGGTAAGTCACATTTTCCTTTCTAATAGTGTTTTTTTTTCTTTGATGGCATTGTTCAAGGGGTACAAGTAGAGTGTTGAGGTAAAATTTATGTGATTTTATCATTTTTAATTGATTTTTTTAAATAACAGTTTAATACTGAAAGATTGTCAGCAACATTAAGCCATTACTCTGTACAATGTGCATATACCTACAATACATTTAGCTTTGGTCCAGCATTGATAAGATGAGCAAAGGCATTTTTATAGAGTTCTTTTTTTCTTTCTTTTTTTGGTAATAGCTTCATTGTTGAGCCTCTACTTGTCCACCATATAATCCAGACCAGTGTATCTTTTTTTAGTAAATTGTGGAATAGAGCAGAGAAAGAAAGGGGGGCAGAACAAAAATATATACAAAACAAAAAACACAACCTTTTTGCAAATGCCTTCATTTGAAAGACAGCTGCAGTACATGAAAGCTGGGTTGCTAAGGGAGAATATTTACCGTAACAACATAATGCTGTTTAAATGTGTTCATCATAACAAAAGGAACCAAAACCATGAATTGGGAAAAAAAGTGGGAGCATTGGTCACAATTTACAGCAATTTTGTGTAGCTTTACAGAAAATGAGTAACTGTCCCACTCTCCCCAATGTACTACAAAAGGAGCAACCTGATACTTAGGAAATAATGCTGACAGCAATTTTCTGACTTCTGAGTATTTACACAACGTTTTTTGCTATTCAGAAACTGAAATTATTGATGTGGCAATAGAATATTGCTGCATATCATAGTTTTGAAAAAGACAGATACTGAAATTAAACACTCAATCTCATACCTGCAGTTCTCTGTTGTCGAATATCATAGACGGCAGACGCAAATCGAAATCACAATTACATATGGCATTGAGTTTCAGTCTTGGCACTTTGTTTTGGTTTTGTCATTTCATTTTAGCACTTCATGACAGGAATTCAGTTAATTTTGGAAATGTTTTGGGGGTACTGGAAACATAAGTAACAGTGCTTTCAAAATGACTTGCATTTAAAAACATAGTTTTTGAACCCCTCCCACCTAACCTGGAATCTGGTGAAACTGGGCAAACGCATGTTCTCCTCCAGAAACATACACTTGTCTGAGCCATCCACCATTTTTAAACTTGAGAGATTCACAGCACTTTACAAGAAAGTGGGAATTGAGTGGAATGAGTGATGTGGATCTCTCTGACAACAGTATCTAGGAAATACTAGGTGTCACTGAAGACCTACTTTAGATGACTCAGACCCAACCAACAGAGCTGGGCGGTCAGTTGTGGGATTCCAGGTCACAGATAATGACATCTCTAGATATGAACTGGTCACCTCTAGATTACAGGGCTCAGTCTGCACACAGAATGAGAATGAATTATTTGCTGGATGAGTCACTGTAAATGACTTGTAAAGGGATCATGATTGTACGGGCATTTTTCTGTCTAGCTCAAATTCAGTTTCAAATGCAGCTCATGCAGGGCTGTTGTCTTACATACTGTAGGTCACATCATCTGCAACAGAAAACTTCTTTGAAGGGAAAATGATACTTTACTTATCTTATAATAGGGCCCAAATACAAAAGGGATGAACCCATTATATGTTTTACTTGACTGAACAGAAAATACCAGATGTGCTCTTCCGGATTGTTTGGATGTCTAGTGGAGACCTCCAAAATGTGTGGAGGATATGTTACTGTGTGGACTTCCTGGAGGTCACTGGCTTGAATCCATGCTATACCACTTTCCCAGATAGCTTGTCAATGGAGTAAGATCTGCTATGCTACCCAGCTGAAGGAAATCAGGGCAGTGTTGGTGCTAATAGCAGCTGTGCTCCCACAGTGACATGAGGCTTGCCCCTTTTCAGCAGCACATGTGGTCAAGAAGGCTGTTTTAAATTCCAAATCGCTATACGGTACATAAAGAGAAATAAACATGAAAATCACCTAAAAGTCTTCAAATCTTGATTTACTTTAATTTCTTTTGAAGTGTAAATGGAAATGATATTTCCCAAAGTTTTTGACCCAGGCTTGTCCCATCCTCCTTCCTTTTAAGATTCACAATTGATGAAAACATAAAAGGGAAAATTAAAAGCATTGTTTTTACTGTCAGTTATATTCCCCAGAAAAACGAGTAATACATTTTACTGTCATCTCACGAGGTGGTCATCCTGGAAGAAGTACTGACAGCAGTTACACCGCCGGAATCCTTTTTTCACAAACCTTCACACATTTTCTACAGTGTAATATTATTTGGATTGATTCAAGTTTTTTGTCTTTGTTCTTCACAATCAAGAAAAAAAAGTCATACAGTAAGTTTCAAATGTGTGACCTTTAACATCATTTTAGATGAGGCTCTCAATAAGACTCGACTCTAGGTGCAGACAGCTGTTGTGTCAAAACATCTTGAAAAAGAAATGAACACTGTAGCGAATGTGTTTGGAAGTGTCGCCCTAATATTTGTGTAATACACTTTTAGTATAAATAATCTGGAAAATCATTAGGACAGGATAATGTACTGTATAGCATTATGTGAATTAAACCAGTGTTTATGGGCTTTGTTCTTATATGATTTAGTATCGAGTGGGATGTGTTTCAAAGTGATTTTATATCAAACATAAAGACATTTGATGTGTTTATGTGACAATGTAATTTGTTCAAAGCTTTTTCAATTATTGGGAAAAAACCCCAAGAAAAGGTACGGTAAGCTCATGCTGGGATTTAACAGGCATAAATGTTGAAACAGACTTTTTCTTTTGAGATTTCCATACCCTTATTATGACTAAGAGAAGAACTGGGGCACCTATAAAAAGTGACAGATGTATAATTGCTATGAGCAATCTTTGATAAATGAACTTTGTCAGCATTTGTTTACTAGCCTATCAACAAGAATCTTTCTGCTTTAGAAAACTAGTTAATGAAATGTCTTTTTAAATTAACTGACATGCACTGAGGATGAACAACATGTTTATTGTACTTTTCTGTGAAAATATATATAGTTCTACATAATGGGTACTTACATAGGATCAATATTCATCAAGTTGTGTATTGAAGAATATATTTCCTCTGAATCTGTACTTAGCATGAATAAATCCTTCAAAATCTGTATAATATAGTAAAGAACTGTCCAGTCTGAGATGTACAAGATAAATCCTCTTGAAATATTAATCAAAGCAAACTCTAAAGCTGACTTCGATGGTTTGAAGACATTGTACTGCATTAGTTGGTGACACGAACATAAGGACTTATTTTAACATAAGGGTTTTTCAATGACGCAGTTATGTAATTGGCAGGAAAATCACTGACGTATTTTCAGATTAAAATGAAATCAGGAAAGCATGGAACCTCCTCATATTTTGAAAATGCTTGTCATTTAAATCTTTCACTTTTTCCTCTTGTCCTTGATAAACGTAGGGTATCTTATTTTATATTTAAAAAAAGAGGGATCTGTAAAATCATAAATGTATATAAAACTAAACACTGAGGCATGAGAAGCACAAAGTTGGTTGAAGGCAGTAAGATTGCATGTCAACAACTTCAGTGACGATGATGGCTATGAGTTTTTATGATCCTTGTTAACGCTGTACATTACAAAACAGGAATGCTGGAGTTTTGGGGAAAAGATAGATCAATCGGCATTCTAATGACCTCTTTCTGCAGGGACCTGGTATCACACACACACTTGAAGTGACTTTAGAGCACAAACACAATCAATCAATAAGTCGCTCTATTAAATAAATAGGAGCAAACAGTAAAAAAATGTCCTGGATAGGGTTCATGACCCAAGTATGATCTTCGTTGTGAATCTCTGATGTCCTTGGGCCCAGCATTCAATTCTTTGGCTATCAGGCTTTGGCAACAAAATATAATTGCTCTGCATACAGCCATAGCAGTAGTGTTGCATTACTCTGGGTAAATCGCAGTCTGGAGGATAAGTGGATGCGAAGCCTTTCTGTCTGTGGCTCCATTTCTAGAATTTCCTACATATTTAAGACTGGGCTCTTTTTCATTTGCTGTCTCAAACACATAAACACTCTTATAAAAAATAATAAATACCTGTACAATTTTTACAAATTTGAATAGCAAATTAAAAAGCACAGTGAATAACAACTGAGGACAAAATAAAAATGTGACATTTTGTTATCATAAATAAGTGGCATAAAATAATAGCACCCACAGGATGAATACAGCCAGTTTGAGGTTGTGTTTTAGATGTAAATAAGTACAAAAAAGTATATATACAGTATATCTCTCTATATGGCACTCTAATTACTCACCTACATATAAATTAAGACAAGCAAAAAACTAGTGTTCCAAGTGAAGTGCTGGCATAAGACCAAACTAAAATAAACATTAAAAAATGATATACTGTAATCCCTGTTCCAAAGGTAATCATTTGATTTTCTATCAGTACAAATGTAAAAATTGTTTAACACTTTTACACCCAAAGAAAAAAAAAGAAAATAGGCTAACAATCTAAATTCAATGCAACATTTCATACTTTGGTTAGTAGTTTTTGTTTGTCTATTTTCTTTCGCATACTGAAATTTCAGTACAGAATCAGGTGCCTGAAAAGAATCCAGTTTCCACTCCACATGGCAGACTTTTCAGAAATCTTTTCAAAACAGGGTTTTTTAAATATTTTTACACGTTTGTTCACAGAAATAGTACACTTTTTTATTTTTTGGTTTTGGTTAAGGTCCTTTCAAGGGTTGGTTTTAACAATCACACTCTGACACAATAAGTGCTGTGTTTCTTGTCATTGGTTGGTTGGTTGACTGGTTGGTTGGTTGAAAAATAGATCATGGTCAGTGGGGAATCCTACTGCCCATGAACGGCTTTCTGTCTTTACTTACTAGTGACCTCATTTGGAACCCTTTTAAGTCCAGAACTTTGTTTCAGCTTCTGTTGCGTTTTGTTTAGGAATGCTCTTCTAGCGAGTCTGTCAGAGGATCCACTGGGACAGGCGTTCCAGATTCGTGTTGTTTTAAACGCTTTATTGTGTTTTTCAGCGCTTGCCTCTTGTTGCAAAACCAGACACGGACAACTTCCCGATCATAGTTCAGTTTTTCGGCAATTTCTGTCATTTCTTGCCCAGAAGGGTGCGTGTTCTTCTCAAAGTGGGCGTTCAAAATCTCCAGCGCTTGGGGGGTGAAAGATGTCCTCCTCTTGCGTTTTTTAGAGGGCTCACTGCCGATAAATTCTGTCAGGTTCTGCATTCCGGAGCGGTGGCGGGCCTCTGCCTCGGCCATCCATCGCTCCAGAACTGGCTTTATCTTCTGGGCGCTTTTTGGGGTGATGTCCAACTTCTCGAACCTGGCAGGATATAAAAGGCCAGGGTTCAGTTTGGCTGTCAGACTGCTAGCTATAGTGTTCTCTTGGGCTTCCTGTGGTAGGAAAAAGTGGCTTCTCAGGATGGTGTGTCTGGGGAAAATTGAGAGAGAAGAATCTTACTCAGGTGCTCTGCCAGGCGGGGACTTCCTGCCTGCCTTAGATACGGAGAGGGGTTTCCTTACAAGCTGCCAGCAGAGATACAAGGTGATCAGGTTCAATCCTTTCAGCAACTGAAAGCATTCGAAAACCAAACCTCATCATCAACCTCAAGTAGGAAAAACTGAGGTAGCACACTTACAGATTGAAATATGGCTTTTGAGGATGATGCCATCTTTGGTAAGTTTGAGGAAGACATCCATCTGATGATTAAATCACTCAAAACACCAATTGGTATGATATTTCCTGTCCAACAATGGATACATGACTATACATCAAATCAAACTGTTTTTTTTTTTGCCTTTGGGCAGCCTATGCATAAGGAAACCCTTCTATAGACTGGCAGAGATATGTAAAATGGACTAAGGAACAAACATAGAGCTGGTTTTTACTTCAGCATTTAAACAGACAAACTTCATTATTATTCCTGTTCACAACAAACAGTGCATTACAAGTTATCCAAAACACACAAAACACAAGCACTAACCAATTAAACAATATCAAAGAAGGCATAAATATCCCAAATATATTCTCACACACATAAAACATTTTATTTAAACAAAAATCACATTGAAAACATTCTATACCCCCCACCCTGCCCCTGAACCCCCTCAACACACATGAGCCAGAAGAACTATGCCCTTCTGAAAAAGTCACATTCCATTCAAAGCAAAGTTGAATAAAGACAGTTTGAATTCATATAATTCCGACTGTCATTAGTGGAGCACAAGGTACATTCTCATCACAATAGATAGAATCTGTAAATGATAATGTATCTATGGCATAGCCCTTTCAGTTATTTATTCAAATAACTTTTTAACATATTTTGTAATATTTTTGTGTCCCCGAATAACTTTTATATTAAATAATATTTTGAATGAATGTATTCCTTCCATTCAATCAAGTGAAGTCTATCAGTATCGGTTAAATAATACAATTAATTCAGTTTTACTGTACTGTACATACTGCAGGTTTGCAAAATGTGCCTGCTGCAGGAGCAATGTGCTCTTTTTTTTCTTTCTTCTTGTATCTTTCTAAAACTAATGCTCAGCAAATTTAGTCTATAAACTTTTCTGTATTTAAAACAAAATCGAGAACATTACCATAAATAATAAAAATGCACTTGGAACTGCATTGTGATAGAAATCTTGAGTGCATAATGTATGATTGCTACACATGGCAAAGCTTAAAAACTCTATACTGTATGAGTGAAATATGGAGCATTACAGAAATTCACAAGTGGCTTTTTTTTTGCATTTGTGATGTCAATGGTTAAATTGTATTCATCTTAATAGTTGAGCATGATCAGTCACAATTCAGTTGAACTTAAAGACTTTCAAATATCAGATGGGATAAAGAAATTAGAGCATTTTTCAGTACTAATTTTCAGTATGTTGGACACTAGTGTTTTGTTTTTTCCAGTATCGGTTTTCAAGACCTATCAACAGCAGCAGTTCATAAGCCATGTGGATAAAGTTCTATCGAACCAACCAAACCAATTGAACACTGATGGACAGGGGGTAAGACTATATTGGACACGCTTCCGGAGGGTAATAACTGGCAGTGTCAGACTGTGTTTGCTTAATCTAGTTCTGCCACATGCCTTTCTGTACCCAGGGTGACTACTAGTACAGAGGTGGTCCTAATTCAATAACCAGCAGCTGGAGTTTGCAAGTGTAAAAGAATTAGCTACCATTGGTACCTGAGGGGAGAAACCGAAGCAGTGTGTTCGCACAGAGAAGATGAATGAGAAGTACAATAAAACATCTGAAAATGAGCTAACAGCCGAGGTATCAGCTCAGACATTCAGAATACATGTAAGAATAAATTCTCAGTGCATTTAAAGCGAATAATATAACGTTTTTTATAGTTTAAGATTTATTGTTAATGATTAATAATATTAGTAACACTGGATACTCAGTAGTGATGGCTGCACATTTGTGTTAAAGATGATTGAAAATCATGGGAATAACACTGGAAGCATTTCCTTTTCATTTGTAAGACATTCTTGTAAAACATGTTGATAATCAGGTAATGACTACCATTAGCCCAAAATGTATATGAATCCTATTTTTAAAATTTATTTTGGGGTTTATGACTTGTTAGCAATTGTTGTGTTTTATGAATGAATTCTGGAACATTTTCAGAAGGGGGGGACCTTTTAAATTGTCACATTTCTTTTGGTGACAAGGAAGACCCTAAATCAGTTCAGCTTTGTAGACAGACCCCAGAACATTAAAAGGCTGTCCTTTTTTTTCAAAGACTTCGTTTATAAAAAAAATTGATCTGATTTCTGTTTTTTAAGAATTTGATCCGTTTAGTTTTAAATACGTTTTAAAGCTTATACGGTAAAGCATATTAATTAAAATGTTTTCTTTATTTTTACATTTACAAGACACGTTTCCTCAGATAGAGCACTTAAAAACAGAGAGGTACTAAATAAATCAATGCACATCATAGAGAAATGTTGTTTTCCTAATGCAGCTAACTACTGCTGCACAATAACTTATAGTTTCTTCCTAGATAGGAAACACTTCTATTAATGAAAGCAAGCAAATGAGGAGATCGATTTACGTGCAGCACATCAACTGCCCGAGAACTACAAAAGCAGGTGAAGGACATTTTTTAATAGTGAAGTTGCTTGTTGCAACTGTTGCAAAACAGCGGGGTGGATAAGGCAGGAAGGGGATCCTATAGTGCCTTTCTCTATCTTAAAACAATCGAAGCATTTTATGGGAAATCATCACTGAAACAGAAGCCACGAACTCTGTACCCCTTGCTGGTATTATTTATAACCCCCATCTTAAACGGCAGGGAAAGTACTCTGCCGTTCTGGAGGGAATACATTAACAAACATAAAGAGTCAGTAAAAAGACAGGACATTTCATGGATCAACAAGAGTGAAATCCACTTCAATGAGTTAGAAGTTGTTTTCCCGGCTTCTCTGTGATGAGGCAAAGCTAGAAGTCAGTACCCAGGAGGAAAAATAAGAGAAACTCTCCTTTTTCCTCCTCTCCCTATGCTCTTAAAAGTGCACTTGCCAGCTCATGCATAAACATGCATTAAGTGTAGCCTGTGTTGATGGAGCTTAGTTATAACTGTTTAACCTTTAAAGCACTGAAGCACCGACATGGTCTCTTAACGTTAAAGAGTTATTATGCTTATTCGTTATGATACTGTATGCTTTCATTACCATAGGCACTGAGAAGACAACCAGCCTTAATGAAGCATACCAAGAGCTCACAAAGTTTTTATGGTAAAGTATACGTGACTGAATATAATACTGTGCAATGCTGCAGTTTGATCTGAAAAATGAAATTGATAACATAAAATAAAAATGATAACATTGTAACAAACAAAAAATGAATGGAGAATAATTAAAAACAATAAAAGAGTATTGGAAACAATTGTCTTTGTTGCATTTTTATTGCATCTCAGTATATAATACATTATTACTGCATGTGCATTTTATTGTGCTGCTTAAAAAGGCATCCTGCAGAAGATAAATTATAGGCACAGCACAGCAAAACAAAGTCAGACTTGTATGGCAACCATGACTAACATGGCCGAACAGATAGAATGTAAAGAACGGATAAATGATCAGGAGCAAATTAAATGAAATAAAGGTTGTGTTAAAAAATAAATTAAAAGCATAACATAATTAAAGAGATAAAAGCTTAACAACACAAATAATCTATCATTTGTAAAATGTACAATTGCGACTCTGTTGTTATAAATTAAGTTTCATGTTCTTGGTGGTTAGAATGATTTGCTTCAGTTCTGCATCTTAAAAGACAACAATAAATTATTTGCTAAATGTATTCACTGGTCCTTCCCTTGTGATGATTAATCTAATGAGAGGATCCTTACATAGAATAAGACATTAAACATTAATGGCATTAAATGCTTCACTACATTTTCAGCTCCTTAAATATGACTCCTGAAATATGTGAAGCACCACCGAATCAATCATCCCTCATTACGTCTAATCGGCCTAAAGGGACCGACACAATTTAAAAAAATGAACTCAAGGGTTTGATCTCCGGTATGAAAATAATATTAGGTTTAAAAAGGCACATTTAAAGGTAAATCTGTGAACAGTTTATTGCCTAACAGCTTTATATGAGTTTTTGCAATTTGTTTAATACAGTAGATGTGTTATTACTGGCTATAATTGCAAAATTTTATAGTATGCTTTAAAACCATTTTACAAACAGGAAACCTTGTGACTTTCAGAAATCCAAAACCACTTAACTGTACAACCAATAACTAAAACAGTCTGATATCCTAACAGTTAAATAACACTACTCTGTCCTGGCAAAACAGACAAAAATTGCAGCAAAAGGCCAGATGCAAAAACATTTGCTGTTCCAAGCTTATGCTTCCATTATGATATTTTAATGTATGTTATAAATATTTGAATGACATTACACTTTTAATATTTTATGTGTGATTTTAAGACTTCTGCACTAGTTCTTGGCCTGCCTCATAAGAAAATGGTCAACTCCTCCAAGCATTTTCAAATTTTATATACTCGTTGATGTTGATGTACTAAAAATTTTAACAGCACATTACATTATGTCAAATAAATAGGGCAGGTTACCAGCAGAGAAAGTGTATTTAAAAAACAAACAAACATGCATTTACATAAAAGACTAAATCGAAAAAAAAACTGTTGACAACCACTGCTTGTTTTAGTTTGCCCTTTCCCGTTACATAAGAAACGTAGTGTGATAAAAGATTAGGTTTGTAGTATCACATTTAGTGCTTGTCTTTTTTATGAGATTACAGAGGCTGGTCTTCCAAGTATTCTGCGCCAGTATGTAAACTGTAAAGGAAGAAGGTATCTGTACCTGAAGAAGGCTCCATGACTACCAAATAGTTTTTTCCACTCTTCTGCATGTTACTAACTCACTTTTCTGACTGCTTTTATTTTTGTCATGGGTCATGGGAACCTGGAGCCTATCCCAGCAAGCAATGGGCACAGGGCAGGATACACCCTGGGCAGGATGCCAGTCCATCAATAGGAAACCAGACACTCACAACAGGAACAATTTCCCCAAAAGCCAATTAATCTACTGTGCCTTTGGATTGTAGGAGGAAACCGGTCACCCACAGGAACACTGGGTGAACATGGAGATACCTGTGGTACCCCAGAAATTGAATCCAGGGCCCGAGCACTGCAAAGCAGAAATGCTAACCACCACTGTGTCACCCCACTACTATTTTCAATTTCAAATTAAATAACATATTTTTTAGCTTGGTAACAGAATGGCTTCTTCCGTTTTTAAACTCTTTTTAGCTTTTAAGCTGAAATGTTCTACAACAATCACACAGAGCACACGGGAATGAAAACTGAAAAAAAACCTCAATAATGAGAGATCTTCAATGACAGTCTTAACGTACAGTATAAAACTGAGTGTGTAACTTTCATTCCATCATTCCATCTACCCGTATTTCTAATAAAAATAACTAAATAATACTAAATTAAAATTGAACATTTATCATAAGAAAGGTGAGTACAATTTTAGCAATAGCCATGGATATTTGCATTTATTTTGGTTTACTTTTTCATTACTTTCCCATGAAAGAATTTGACTAATATTAATTTGACATATTAACTATATGGTAAATAAATAAGGGCTTACTCAGTTTGATTTAAGATTTCTATTATATGCTGTTTGTATAATTATTTTATTTTATCCATGACTGTAATACTACAAAAGTGTGTGCTTAAATGTTGCAACATCATAAACAAAGCATTAAAAGCTACAATATTATAACCATGCTGTTCTAATATTGGTACTTTATGTTTGAATGTTGTTTTAAAAAGAGAAATGTAAGTCATCAGTCTTAATTTATTCAAATTATTAAAGACTTGTTCTCTGCTAAACCAAGATGATAAACCTTCATGCTTATTTCATGCTTCATGTTTATTATAAGACTGTGGTCAGTCTAGGGTCAATTAGTAAATGATGGAATGGAAGCCAAAAAAATAAAACACACCAATGCTTTAAAGTAAGCCCATGTACAGGTATTTTCGTGTAAAAATGTGACTTAACCAGGAGTTTAAAACTGAACCACTTGTTCAAATAATGTGATTAAAAATAACTGGAAAGTATACTGGCACATAGAGTACAGTACGCAATTGTTAGCACATTGCTGTGGCAGATTTGCTGTGAGAGTTACTATTGACATGAAACCTCCATCGGGTTGCCTGTAGAACCCTTCAGTCAAGGTGTTCCACAACTTTATTTCAAAGATTCACAGATCGTTTATCCATAAATAACATTTAGCCGACCTCTAGACTGTAAAAACGTACAAAAAGCTCATTTTAAATTAAAAAAAAACCCACGATGCAACTTTAAAAACAACACAGACGCGCTTGGTTCTGGTATTAGCTGCTGAAGGGGCTGCAGTTTTCTGACGCTCTGCACGAGAAGGAGAGATTAGCACAGGACATGTGTGTTTGGTGTGAGCCCAGTTTACCTGCAGATGGCTGACTGACTGTATGCCGGGCCTTCTGTGGCACTGAGAGCCTGTCCCACCTGAGTCTGTGTCAGCCCCAGCGACAGGCGGCGGATTTTAAAAGCTTTGGCAAACTCTCGGATCTCCTCCAGATTCACCCCGTCCACTTCACTGGGAGCTGTCTGGGGATCTGCAACACAAAGATCACATCAAAAACTCTGGAGCTGAGCCAGAACATAACAACTTTTAAGACTTTTATCAGACCTGCAAAACTGGCCTCCCTGTCTGTAACCTCAGCAATGTTTCACAAATTATTTCTAAATGGAGGTGAAAAGAAATATTCTTAATTGCCTTTTCCGGCTCAGTTTTCTTTTGTCTGCAGCATGAACCAGTATCAGAACATGATCAACAAATGTTGCTTTCGAGTAAACTGATTAAATGTTCTGCATCTCTACACATCCAAGATACAGACAGATCTTATGTTTAAAATCATTCACAAATGAATTAAAATTTGCAACAATAATATAATTATTATCCTTACATAATTCATTAATCACACTACAGTACACTATATACTGTAGTGTGACTATCGTAATTAGCAATATATTGTAAAATTATAATTACAGCAAATGTCCAACCAAGTGCTATAAATATTCTCTTAGGGAATCTATTCAAATAAAGAAATAAGTTTAAAGGAAAGAAAAAACATGCTTCCTGGCATTTGTTTCAATGTGAGCACCTCACATTCGAAAAAAAAAATGCTTGCCTTATTGTGCTAGCTTCAGAAATGATGGAGTACAATCTGGAATAAATATTTTTGCAATTGAGCTAATACAGTGGTTAAATAGAAATCACCTAACATAAAGGTAGTTTGTCAATGAATGAAACCATTAAAGTGATACCACACATCATTCATAACATTTTGGAAGAATCCATAATTGAAAAACTCTAATGGAGCCTTAATAACATGCAATGTGGGTTATTCTTGTGAGAAATTGCTATATTGCTATGCTGCTTTTATCAATGTCTTCTTTCTAACCCCCTCAAAATAAATAATCCACTTAAATGTATATGTCAGAAATTCAACCTGAGTTGTTTCTGGTCACATTTCCTGTTTTCTGTTTTCTTCAGATGCAAACCATGCAAAAATTAATCTGTGCTTGCCATCTGCCAAAATCATGTCTTTCAAAAGCTAGGATGGTGACCCAGTGTAAAATCAAGTTACACTACTAATGCTAATAATACACAAATGCCAATGTTACACTGGCAGTAATTTACAGTATTTTACATTTCCTAAGACATTTTTAGTTAAAACATTGTTTGACCTTATCTAAGATTCAAATCTTTTTCACGTAAAGTTGTAGAAGTACACACATATTACATTCATGTTAGTACATTTTTAAAGAAAGATTTTTTCATCTGTATTTAACATAAAATCAATTGGAAATCATTGCTACTGCCGTCCATCTCCTTAAATGACTGATGCTCTCTTTCCATCCTGTGTGGAAGAAACATGGGCTCATGCAGAATGCCATGCTCATTCACACTCTCCCATGGATGTCTACACATCTCAGCACTGCATATTTTGCAGACATGATGAATCAATATGTGGTCTGTTAGAAAATGCATTTTTTTTAATACTGAATGCATCTGGTTTCACACCTTTTTACTGTTCCTTCTCTTGTTTCTAAGGGTTTGTCATGTGGGAGCAATGTGTTATGAACTTGGATAACAATGTTATTCCAAGTTACAAAGATGTGCTATAGAATTAAGTTATGGTTGTAAGTATTATGTATGTTGTGACTTAAGAAAGTAGCCCATTGGCAGAACCTATGAGCTTATCAAAGCAGCGTTTTTTCTGTGGAACACCATTGCATACGATCTATCAGAAAGAGTCGAAAAGAGTCGTTTCCCTTTGCCATCTGAAAATTCTGTGGTCTGAAATTGTTCAGTTTCACAAAATTATTTATTAAATTTGTGCTCTTGCTTTGTAAGGCTAGTTGTATATTGATTATAATTGTATAGCTTTGCGTATTACTGTTTTGATAATTGAATTAGCAGTGGCAGATGGTAGTGTATTACTAGTAAATTGGGATGGCAAAATTAACTTTTTTAAAAAGGGAAAAAGGGAGCTGTTATTTTTGTGCTATCTTTTGTAAAACAAGTGTATCGTTTATTAGTGACAAAATATGCCCTAAATATAATTACTTTTCTTTCTAATTACAGGGCTTAATAATAAAAACATCAGTTGACGTTAAAAATATTGAGAATATGACAATAATTTAAGAATAATTTGTACATAACTTTTACAGTCTTTTTTATCCTCATATTGAAGATAGTATTGACATTCCATCTGCATTATATTTCTTTTATTTTTCATTTACGTATAACTATTGCATTTTAAAATTAAATGCTGCATGTAGCACCAAAGGTGATACAGTTCTTAATGTGTAAATATTTATTCAGATTAAGTTCTGTATAGATCTTACTATTTGCACCAAACATATACTACTTATATGCATATATAATTAAAGATAAGAACACTCATGGACACTACACATGAATAATATTGTACAGACCTTCTCAAAAGACCATGCAGCAGAAAACATGTTGCTGTATCATTTTCCTGCAAGCACATCACAGTTGCATGTCCTCCTCAGAATATTCTGCCACAAAACTTGGACAGCTCAGGTCAAGATACTGTTAAGTTGACAGTATCAGTGTGAAGACCTCCTAATATTCTTATTTCAGATGTTACCATTTGCATTTATTCTGACAATCTTAAAATCCAAATATTGTTGAAGTATGTTAAAAAGACCCTTTTAAAAACTCAGCATCCGCAAGATGGCAAAAAGCAACGTTAAAGAATAGAGCAATAGTGGTTCTTGAGAAATGTCTTCTATTTGCCAACTGTTGACACCGAAATCTCCCATTTTGACTGTAGTCACTCTTTAAAATTCTCTCAAATTCAAAGAGCTTTAATGCCATGATCAATAAATTACTATTGAGGGACTGTGTTCATCAGGCTGTGACACGAGATCACATACTGGACTGCCAGCTCTTTTGAGCTTCCTTCCCCTCCCCCAGTAAGATTGATAGCTGTTGTGATTCTGGCAGGTGTGGGATATCTGGGATTGGTTTTGTTATTTTCAAAAAAGAATGTTTGTCTTATCCCATTTATGCAGTGTAACAGAAACTGAATCTCTGCCTGTCTTCTCTGGATACATTTTTTAAGAACTTGTGTGTATTGTCATTTTAATACCTTGTGTTTTGTTTGTGTGTGCGTCTCAGTGGGTCAGGTTGTGTTGTTTGTGCTCTCTTTCAGTCACAACAGAATTGCTTTTACCATTGGATTGGATATTTCAATGAGTCATCATTTTAAATGACTAATTTTGATGAGTTAATGTTCTCTGGCTGGGGGTCTCCTCATCATTCCAGGCTCAGAAAGATTTTTGTGTCTCTCATAGTGCCACTTGTGTTTCCTGTAGACTACATGACAATAGTTTGTTGAAAGGCTTAATTTTATAGAAGGACTGAACATTTACTGATGGGCCACATATTTTTGGTCATTGGTGTGTACAGCAATCTTTCCCCTGTTTACATTTTAGTTTAATTATTCTATTTTCATTGACAACTTTGTGCTCTCTAAATCACTTCTTGAGACTCTTAACACTGTACAACTGAAGAAAACACTGGACCTTTGATAACAGGCTTGGTTCTGACCGACAAGCACCCGCCTGGCTGGTGTCCACAAGGATCTATGAGAAAGTTTCAATGTGTGGCAATTTTTATTTTTAATCTGATGTCCCTGTTGGAGAAAAATCAAGAGAATCGGGCTCAAGGCAAAGAAATGCCACAGAGAAGGTAAAAGGTAAATCTTACTATTATGAAAAATAAATTCCAGAAAAGAAAAAACAAAAAGAAGGAAATCTACTATTGAAAGGATCAAGTCACACATCTGTGACAGCATTGAAAGCATATACTATACATGAAGTATATGCCTGCCAGTTTTATACAACACAAACTGTGATTATTACTGCGTTATACATCCATTTTCTAACTGCTTTATCCAATGCAGGCTCACAGAGGTGCTGAAGTCTATCCTGGCAAACAACAGGTGAAGGGCATGATACAGCCTAGACAGGATGACAGTCCATCTCAGGGCATATATTAAACTCCTCCACTTGAATCATTATCTTTCTTCACTTAGATGTGTTGAAAGACAACAAAGTGAAAGCTAAAAATAAGCAACAGCAACGGCACAATTTATTATTCAGGAAGGCATACGGTTCAGCTCAAATACCAAACTATCTGACAACCATGAATTTCATAGGAAGACTTTACCGAGTAATGTTTTCTTTTCATGGAGACCATACTTTCCTAGAAAACAATTTGAAATCTGCTCATTACTACCAACCCACTCTATCTACAAGAAGCAGAAAGGAGGGCTGCAGGTGGGCAGCTGGTCCTCTCAAGTAAATCACTAGATCATATTTAAATCGTCAGGGCCAGTTGCTGTTTAGCTCATGCAAAATGTCACAAGTAAAACTAGAACAGTAACCATTTGTTAAATACCTCATTGTTACAACCCTCTCTCCACCTGCACACATGAATAAATATCATAAATATCATTGTGGTTAATATTTGTCCAGATTGATCATTTCCCACGAGTGGAATGCTTCATATTTTAAGAGCTCAATTTTAGACAATTTGAAAATGTAAAGTTAGTCTTTCTTTGGAGAGGACTGAGTTTTCCAACAAAGATTGTCTCAGGGTGAAACTACTGTACCACTTTCACCTGCGGTTTTACTGTTTTCTGCTGAACATGTCTGCAGATGTGACATTTATGAGCCCAGCTGCGGTTTAGGTGTTGAAATGTTTCTCTTGAAGCTCATTTAAAACAGAGCTAGGGAATGGGAACGAGTTCCAAAGCAACGCTTGTCATGTCCGTCCGCTGTGTAATAGGCTAGTTCAGCCTCAGCAGAAGGCCACACCTCTTCCACCTGTCAGTCAGGGCCAGTTGCTATGGGAACAAAATCAGACAGGAAACTGGCTTCACCTGTGGGTAATCTCCTCCTCAAGCAAAGCAAAGTATTGAAGGTCGGACTGAGCAGTCCTCTGCACTCTGTTATACAAATTTCACTCTGCGCCTTTCTAGTCCTCACGTCTTTGTATCTCTAGTTCCCTGTCTTGTGTGAAACGAATATGCCCTTGTGTATAACAGGGATCTCAGCCCGGGCTGGGGGAGTTCTCCTTTAGCTCAGCTGGCAAGTTCCCTGTTGCGTGACGCCGGAGACCCAGGTTTACGCCCAGGCACTGAGAGACAAACTAGCAGGGCAGGAGCGGTGAGGGCAGAAACCCCAAGAACAGTTAAATGTGCTTTGTATGGATTCTGGACACTGGAACATTTTTGACCTCATTTTTCCCTTGGTGACTTGTGACTTACATCTGCTACAAACCTTTCTGCTTCGTCCAAACCCTGGCGTTTGTACTTCTCTCTTGTGTTTTCATTTTGTCTCACCTGGTTTGGATCCTGCCTGGTACAGCCACGGATCAGGAATGTGTTTGTCTGCCTTTTTCTCTCACACCTCTCCACCTGGGGTTTCCTGTTCTGGCTTTTTGGCCCAGCCTGGGTTCATCACCCCAGGGGGTGCTCTTTTACAACTCCATAAGCAGTGGTACATTACAGTATAACAGAGCCATATTCCGATCCCAGCGGGCCAGGATGAGGTTTTCTAGCTCCAAACAGTACATCTTTATATTACCTACTGAAGCTACAGCTGAGCTCACCCTTGATCAGCAAGCAAGCAGAGATGAACAAGATGTTCAGAATTTATGTGACTCCATGGCAAATCTGAAGTTCGGTGATGGTTCCACTGAACTTTTTCCAGACATTTTGCCCACCCAGACCACTGCTTTATGCCACCTCAAGCAGCGGTACATAACAACATAAGCTATATGTCTTAATGACACTTTTTTAATTTTTCATTGGCAATAAGAAGCATTATATATGAAAAAGAGTATTCGTGCTCATGAATGTAAGGACTTTAACTTTCACCACGAAGACTGGGAAAAACCTACAGGAATATTAGCAGCAGAAACTAAAATGCTAGACAGTTAGTCAGAGCACCTATAAGAAAAAAAATGCTCACTTAGATCTCAGGTTTTTTTAAGAAATAAAAAGTGAGGCAAACAGACAAATGAACGACTAGGAAACCGTAATCATAATATGGTGTGTTTTGGAGTATATTTTGAAACTGTATAGGTCCAAAGCAATTTTGCGGAAAGCAGTCTTTAAAGGAATAAGACAGAGTTTAATAGAAGGATTAAGATATGAAATTAGTGGATAACAATACTAAACAAAACAGATTCTGCCTGAAGCATGGAACTATTAGTTGGAAGCCATTGACCCAACCTTTCCAACAGTCACTCAAGACAGGAGCAGTACCCATGAGCTTGAGAACTGCGGCTGTAGTATCCATCCATAAGAAGGATGATATAAATGAACAAATTAATTATTTACCAATAAATCTGACTTCTATTACATGTAAAGATATGGAAACAATTATTAGAACTAAACGAAAAGATTACCATAATGCAAATTAGATACAAGAAAAAGGTAGTTAGATTTAGGAAAGGTAGTCTTGCCAAACCTTCCTGTTAGAGTTCTTTGAGCAAGCAACAATGGATACAGACAGAGCATAATATATGGTATATTTAGAGTTTCAGTAGGCTTTTGATAAAGTTCCTTGCAGACAGATATTCAGGGAAATGTGCAGGTTTGGATTCAGAGCTGGTTAATAAAGAGAAAATGCAGAGTACACGAGACTTCAAGAGTGAAGTTTGGAGTGGATACCAAATCAGGAGAATAAGCAAATACTGTAGAAGCAGCAAATTAAAAAAGTTTGAGATACAATTCAAAACAGGATAAACACCTTGCAGATTACTTTCAATGTAATAATAATAATAATAATAAGAAGAAGAATTTCTGGACACTCCACTCAAAGCGCTTTACAGGTAATGCCAATGTGCAGCATCCACCTGGATGATGCGACGGCAGCCATAGTGCGCCAGAACGCTCACCACACACCAGCTATCAGTGGGGAGGAGAACAGAGTAATGAAGCAAATTCATAGATGGGGATTATTAGGAGGCCATGATTGGTAAGGGCCAATGGCCCTTTGGAAATTTGGCCAGGATGCCAGGGTTACACCGGGGAGAAACGCCCTGGGATTTTTAGTGACCACAGAGAGCCAGGATCTTAGTTTTACATCTCATCCAAAGGACGGCGCCTGGTTTACAGTATAGTGTCCCCGTCACTATACTGGGGCATTAGGATCCACATGGACCGCAGGGTGAGTGCCCCCTGCTGGCCCCACTAACACCTCTTCCAGCAGCAACCTTAGTTTTTCCCATGAGGTCTCCCATCCAGGTAATGACGAGGCTCACACCTGCCTAGGTTCAGTGGGTTGCCAGTTGTGAGTTGCAGAGTGATATGGCTGAGATACACTAAGATAGAAGAAGTTTCTTATGTTGATGTCAAAAATCTTAGACAATGTTATAAAGCAATTTAAAGGCAAAATGTTAGGATATATAGATTAAAGCATAGAATTGAATTAAATAATGTTATATTAAAAATGTATAATGTGAGCCAGCAGCCATGTCACCCTGCAACTTACAATTGGCAACCCACTGAAGCTAAGCAGGTGTAAGCCCAAATTTCCTATGCCTCCTAATAATCCCCCTCTATGAATTGACTACATTACTTTGTTCTCCTCCCCCCCCACTCTGACGGCAGGTGGAGCGACGCACCGGTTGGAGTATTCTCGGTCGCATTTAATGGCAACGTCAGCTCAAAGATTTAGTTCAAACCACCAAATGGAGATGGGCGTGCCGACAAGCGGACCCTGCTGATGTGGGACTAATGCTAGGATGAGAGATATTAAAAATGTATAATGCACTAGTAAGGCCTCATTTAGAATATTGTGTACAACTTTGGTCACCATGTTATAGAAAAGATATTGCTGTTTTGGAAACACCAGAGAACAGCAAACAGATACATTCCAGTACTTAATGGAATGTCTTAAACAGATAATTGAAGGAATTGAAATGTTTTAGCCTTTAACAGAGAATATTACAAGGGGACCTGATACAGGTATTAAATGTCCTGAAAGGCATTGACAAAGTTAACCAGAGAACACAAGTGGATACTAAACTAAAGTGCATTTACATGCTGTTATATTCGTTTCTTTCAAGGAACAGTTGAATGAGATCACTTAGCTATTAAACACCACATGGGTTAGATGGGCCAAAAATCACCTCCTCTCTTTTGTAACTTTACTTATGTTCATAAAAATATGATCTGTTGTTGACTTCTTTGCATTCTAAGAATGGCATAACACCAGAGCTTGTCCTAGCTCCCAGAAAAGGTGATACAGATCTATTTATGCAAATGCGATGATTGAGCCAAACAAAATAAAAGTACGATGTTGAACCACTATTGGGACCTAGAACCCACATCCCTCTGGAAATGAGTTTAGAGATTTAACCAACACTTGACACTACTCCTAGTGACTGCCCTGAATCTCATCACTAATAAAGGCTTCACAGAACTGCACTGAGCTTCCCTGTCCAGGACAGTAAGTTAAATAACTCTGACTCATGCCAGACAAATTCTTCCTGATTTTCCACCCAAATCAAAAGCTTTATTACAGTGGGTCAACTGTAAGCATCACTTGTCATCAGAAATGCCACTGGGAACAAGAACTGGACATATTTATTAATAACAAAGAATGTAAGATTCTGAAAGTGTTTTTCTGCATTTCTTAACATTGCTTTTAAATACAATACACAATGCTTGTTACTTTTCTCCATTTATATTTTTACTGCACACAAAAGAGTTTAACAGAACACGGGTTTCGAAATTAATTCGCTCACGTCAGCCTGTTCTCTATTCACCACACGAGTGCTTAACAATATAAAATATGTATCACCTCTACAAAATAATAATACAGCCACAAAACACTGAGACTTGCAAATTAAATATTTTTTTTTGCAAAAATAAGAGCACGCAATAAGCACCACAATTTTTTTCAGAGGTTAAAGTTACATCTCTTCCACCATAACTAAAGTGGGTGATTTGAAGTAGCTTTGATTTGCCTGATTGTCAGCAGTGGGGAGGAGTTGTTGGGTTCTATACCCATTCCTAAAGGACTATCGGTTCAAATCCTGGCTGTGCTCACTACTATTGTAGCCTTAAGCATAATACATCATACAGATTGCTGCAGTAATATGTGTATACAGTATATATGTCTGCTGCTTTTTCATTTTCTCACTTTATGACCATGTGTGCAGCAGGAAGAAGAGTAGAGAGAATTCTTTTCATCAATGAAACTTCAACATGTGCGGTCTAGCTTAGCTTCACCAGAGTTGGGGGGGGGGTAGAGAAGAGCTTTGTGCTTGCTGTGACTACTCACTGCTGACCAACTGTCCCACGCTGAGGGCTGATGAAGAAGAAGATGTTGAGGAAGAGGAGGAGGCCTGACGCACCGGGCTCTGGGACAGCGAGGATTGGCTGTGAGGAAGGTGGAGGAGGCTGGCCTGGGAGGATGCCGGGCCTACCTGCCCCTGCTGGCTCTGGGACAGCTGTGTGCAACAAAAGAAATCTTGCTCAGCAGGGATCATCCCACGTCATCCATTTCCAACAAAGACAAGGACTTTATCCGACTTATCTAATGCCTTGTATAATATATTTTACATGATATACTATTAATATGTGATGATTGTCTGCGGCTGTAGCAGCTTTTGAAAGTACACAAGCTACACAAAAGCATATAATAGTTAGTGTACTCTTTTGATTACAAAATGGGTTTTACTCCTCAGAGTCACAGTAAGAGCCACATGTTACTTGCAGAGGACCACAACACACAGTGTCATCCTTCAAATGATTTTCTCATCGTCCTGCAAATTATTTTCCGTATTTTACAATTACAGAACTCACAAAGCTGCAAATTTAAGGCCTATTGAAGGCCACGCAGTGACCAATTTTGTTGTCCTGGATAAAAGCACAGTTATGTATTCTTTAAAATTATTTTGCAATCCGTTTTAGGACTAAAAAGTGGCAATATTTATATTGTAATCATTTGAGCCATAAACAGCACCAATGATGATAAAACGTTGGCGAAGCACATGGATATTTAATGATGGAAAACATGAGATGACAAGATGGTAATCTTCTTCATCACCATGTGTTCCACTAAAACCTTTTCCAAATAATGCAACAATTTCAGCCCAATTTGAGAAAATGTCCAATTGAGAAGACCTAGGAGGGAGGGAAGCTAGCCAGTCAACTAGTGGTAAACTAGAGCACATAGTACCAAGCTACGCTTCCACAAGAAGTACTTAGACACTATTCACTGATGTTAAAAAAGGGCTTAAAAGAATTTCAAAAGCATCATGTCTTCTTACATTATTTAGGACAATTTATTTCCAATTTAATACTCTGGCAATGGGTACTTTAGGCTTACTAATGCATCTCTCATAGGGCTCTTGGTAATGCTATATACTGATGACGGCAGCTTGTTACAGGATAACATCAGTATGAGTTGTCATCATGTCTGTATTAAGTACATTTTCTCTTTGTAGCTTGAAGATCATCTGCCTGTTTCTATTTTCATTTATAGAAACTAGTACCTATTAAATGTGTATGTCATTAGATTGCGGGATAACCATTACTTAGGCTCAGTGATGGAAGCTTCGTGAAGACATGGAAACAAGCCATTTATACTTCATATGAACTGTGCTTACCATCACTTTGGTGCATGATACTTAAATAGTGAGCCTTTGTCGTGTTTTGTGCATAAAAAGCATGAGTACAAGAAATCAGCTTTATTTACTCTATTTGGTGAGGGATGTACTGATTCTTTTTAAAGAGGGTTGCTTTTTAAGTCTTTTTACAGAAATATCCTTAAGAGAAAATTATCTGGTATGATACTGTAAGCACAACCTTTAATCCTATATCGGGGGGGGAATGACTGAAATAATCAGGCGGCCATTGTTATGTGAAAATAAATTTCGATTATTTATTACTATTAACATTTTTGAGGGGAAACTGATACTGTATGTGTAATATTTAGAAAGTTGTGGCTTACAAGACAAAGCATATGACTGAGCAATTACTGTTAGTTCTATTTTGAACTAGCAATACCTTTTTAACAATCCTAAATAGAAAACCTATTGGGCAACAGTAGAAAAAAATGCTAATTTGTGAAAGTTCACATCAATGTACAATGATGGTATTAATCTGGGAAAAGCTGTCTGGAATGATGTGTTGTAGGGCTGGTTGGTTGTGCTTATAACTTATTATGCAGTGTGTGCACAAAAGTGATAAGAATATGTATTAGATTACTACTGGTTTTATGAAATACTATTTGATGTTATTTTCCTTGGTAATACAGACATTTTTAGACATTAGTTTGGCAAATAAAAGCATTGTAAAATAAAAGTCCTGACTTAATTCCTGGTACTTCATGGCTGAATTATTATTTTTTATTAATATTAATAATTACATTAATATTAATTATTGAATATTAATCGATCAATTATTGTTTAATTACCAAGATGCACGATACATACTTTGCTTATACATTGCAACTGGTAGGTGTGTTAAAATTGTAACCGAAAAAATTAAGATGTTTTCAATCCCATAGGCTCATATGAAGATAGCTCTTTACCAAGTATGTGCCACAAAGGCTACTAAAAACAAAGCATGCCCTGATGCAGTTGCTATTGAGAGTCTGATTGTCATCCAGTTCTTGCTCTGTCTTGGCAGGGCTCATTTACACTTCCAAAACCATGCAGTATACCACCTGAGCTGGTTTGACTCTGAGTGTCCTTTTAGCACAAAAGATCTCTGTGACAGAAGCAGAGTAGATGGTAGAATTTCCCTTTCTCAAAGTATTAAGGTAATACTATGCTTTATGAATGCTGCAGGCCAATATGCCACACAAAATTTCGCTTAATACTGCATCACAGTGTGGAACATGAGACTCTTTCTTTTTAAATGCCTGATTAGGTGGCTTTTTGTATAGTAAAAAATGGCTGAGGGTTTTCAACTTAAGTGCACTAATGAAAAGCAATGTTTTTGCACTGCACTGCAGGGGGTCTGTAAAAGTGCCTGGAGCTCTGAAAGATATTTTGACAGGTGCTTAGAGTGAATGCTAAAGAGAGCACATTTACGATCCATGAAACATTTTGGATATTGTGAACTAAAAAAGTGGATATGAAGAAAAATATCATAAGGTTCCAACATCAGGATGTTGGCAAATCCTTAGTATGCTGTTTTTCTTTGTTTCTGTAATTGGGACTTCCCACATCAGAGAGTAATGTGTTTTGAAATTAGTGGCATCGAAATGATTAAATGGGAAGCCTGACATGTTAATGTAACTTCTATGTCGGGTTAAAAAAATACTCACAGTGCTTTAATTACACTCACCAAAATACATTAACATACATAAAACATTTAATTCAAAATGAATGTGCTCAGAGTGTGGTCAGCTATACATTAATGATTTTCTTCTGAGCTGTTTTATCCTAAACATAATCAATATATCGGGTGCCACGGTGGCATTGCTGCCTCACAGTGCTGGGGGCTCTGTGTTCAATTCTGGACCTGGCATGCTATCTACTGTATAAGGAGTTTACACAGTATGTGTTCCCTATGTTTGTGTGGGTTTTCTCTGGGCGCCGTTGGTTCCTCCCAAATGACCTACCAAAGACTTGCTGGTACAGGTTAAGCAGTTATATATACTGTTCAGTTATATATACTGTCTATATGCAGGGCCATTACTACTGTAGGTCAACGAAAGGTACTCCAGTCAGGGGCAGGTAATAAAGTGATGCTGTTCAGCTACCTTTTCTTTAAAGAACCACTTTACAGGTCATTACAGAGCAATGACAGAATGCTAGCTACTTGCAACATCAGTATCATGATTATCATTAGAACCATCCAGTCTTGGGTCGACCGGTTTGAGTCTAGAGACTGCCACCGGGTCTGGAGACTGCCACTGGGCCTCAGAGATTAATCTGAGAGACAGTACCTGCTGTCCGGGCTTGATTGGCGAGAGTGTGATTCCCTGGGTGTTGATGACTGGCAAGATCTGGTTCCCAATGACAGTTGCGATGATCTGGCCCTGGGCATTGGTCAAAAGCTGAGGTGTGATCGGCTGAACCTGGAGCCCCTGTGTTCCTCCTCCTGCTTGGCTGGATGGCACAGCGGAGTTTGGCATCAGTGGGATAGTTCCAATAATCTAGAACAGAGAAAGTGACAAATAAAGATGTGGGATTTCTTCAGAATATAGAGAAGAGAGAAAACGATTTTATACAGTATGCTGAGTGCACAGTGTGTGTAATCCTAAATTACCACATGAAATTAAGAGGTACAAAGCAAAATTATGGTCCACCAGAAGATAACAATACCATATGAACGCTACATGAAACTACTTTATTAAAATCACAGTACACAATTTTTATTCTTAAAGGAATACACGCACTTATTCCCCCGCTGGATTATATGTAATTCTTACATGAACTTAACAAACCAAATGTCACCAAGTTTAATACTACAATAAACAGCACCAAACAAATGAGGTGCTCAACTAAAAACAGCACCATGCTCACGATTGGAATCGCTGCTGTAATAGAAAAATAAACTATTGACCTATTGATCCTTTAAAAATGTTTCAAGATTTAAAGCTGTAATTATTTCACTTCTTCCATTGTTTTATTAGACCTTTCTGTAATATTCTAGAAGCACCACTCTATGAAAAAGGTTCTAAGGTTCTAAGCTCCAGTGATATGCTGGTGAGAAAGTGAACAAAGATGAATATGATCCAATATGGTCCATTTAGATGACAAGGAGTGAGTAATTACCCAAATGTCCAAGATTTGGTTTCAACATTCTGCACCTGACAACTCGCATTACTGTGCACTTCTGCCACAGAGCCCCGTCCAATGGACTAGTCTATTACTTCTCCTCAGTTTAGTCAGATCAGTAAAAGTCTGTCCTAACCCTTCGTTTCAAAGAGCAGCCCATAATACCAGTGTGTCTGTGCTGAGCAACCTATTGTCAATATTGACAAGTGAGTAGGTGATAAGGTGCCAGCTGAGAGCTTCTCCACTGCAAAGCCATTATTTATTCTGAGTAGAGGAATCCCCTGGTTCAGCCTTCTTAATCTGTTTTAACTCAGCTCTTCAGCTCTGGTTATCCAAGTGTCTGTTTAATTCCCTGCTTCTGTTGAGAACTGTACAGATCATGGCAGGTGTATATTGTCATAGTGATGTAAACTGTGAGACTAGAAAGAATTGTAGCTGAAGAGGGACAAGTATTTAGCCAAGAAAAAGGACTTTCTCCTTTGCATCTTGGTTTGCTTTCTTCACCACATTGAATCATTATCTTCACCCTTCATCGATGCTTCTTAGCTTCATTTGGTCAAATTTGGGATACAATGAGGAAAACTTTATGTTTAAATATCTGCTATGTCTGTATAGACTTAACAATGTGTATTTACAGTATTATGAAAAACAACAAGTGTCATCCAAATAATTTAATTTCAATTATTCAAATTCATTCAATCAGAAAAAGTGAATGAAAACCCTTGAGAAGCACTGAGAAAGGATGATTAATAGTCTGGTGATGTCAGATATTACTAATAGCAGTGTCTTTCTGTGCTGTTTGCTGTTTTTCTGTTTATTTATCTGCCTCCTCTCAATCTATCACACTCACCTGTCTACAAGTATTGCAAACATGTCAATTAGTTTTGTTCATTAAATTGAATTAATACAAGTGTTGTGCTCACAATATACAATTCTGTATGAGATATTCTCTTTAAATTTGATGTCTACTGATTAATGACATTTAAAAAATGAAAATATGACAAGTTAGAAATATGAAATATTAATACAGCCATAAGCACCATCACCATTACTACCACATGTACTATTATGAATTATAAATATAGTAATAACACCAGCATGTAGGTCTGACTTTTAGTACCAAGGCCTCAAGAGAACTTTTATGGAAAGATCTTTAACAAGAAACACATATGCTGCGTAGAATTAGTTTGAATTCATGGGGAAACATTTAAATGCAAAGGCATGTAAGCTGTGTTTGTAGGCCCAAAAATAAGCTTTTTGCTCTGAAATTCCATAGCAATCAATTGTGCATTCTTGCTATTCATTACAAAATATGGTTGAGTACAGTAACCATAATGATAGAACAATATTATCCCATCACATGTGGTCATTTTTCAAACATGTTATTGCACAATCTTTGTGCTAGGTGGTGCTGAACCCATACACTAAACAGCACACAGATCACTTTTTGAATAAGTACATCAATAAAATCACTTGTGTATTTACAGTATTTCCAGTGTTAGTTAAACTGGTTATTTTTTTTCACTGAAGAAATACATTTTCTGTCAAGTTTGGAAGCAATAGATAGCTAAAAAGATTTTCTTATTATGAAAAAAAATGTACCTCTATTAAGATTGTGATCAGCTAAACACATCTTAAAGTAAAAAGCTCAAATCCATTAATTTACAATAAAAAT